TTCCATTCACGGGTTGTCCTTTCACTTTCTTGATGTTGTCATTTGCAGCACAAAACTTTTAATTTTGATGAAGTCCGGTTTATCTTTTCTTTTCTTTTCTTTTGTTGACTGAGCTTTTGGCGTCCTAAGAAACCATGGCCTGACCCAGGGTCACAAAGATTTACTCCTGCATTTTCTTCTAAGAGTTTTATCGTTTTAGCTCTCACGTTTGAGTTAATTTCTACGTATGTTGTGAGGAAGGGAGGGGTCCAGCTTCATTTTTCGCATGTGGATATCCTGTTGTCCCAGCATTATTTATTGAAAAGACTGTTACCCCCATGGAAATGTCTTCACACCCTTTATCATTCTTTCCAGTTAAGCTCTTATAGAAAATTATCTTTTTCTATTCTTTTTAATAAAATGCGGATTTACCAAAATAATCAGGATACTTGTTCATGTGATGCTCTGTTGATTTGTTCACAGCCCAGCAGACCTGGTTATCCTAGTCCGAGGTCCAGCGAAGGGTTTCATCCCAGCCCACAGCACATGGTACAGACCAATCACTACCAGGTATACCGTTCATTACCGTTATAAGATGTGTTATTTTATTCTTCAGCACATTTGGGGGTGGGGAAGTATATATTGTATATATTTATAAATTAAAACATTCATTTTTTTCATCGAACAAATGAATGATTCTCTCCCAAGCCCCACGTTTCCTTACCTTGTAAATAAGAACAGCTATGGGACGTTTCCTGTAGGCCTTTTCAGCTTGAAATGCTCATTTGATCCTTTCACGTCATTGGTGTCATATAGAAAACTGCCTTAGATCATTTGAAATCTCTTTGTTGTGAAAATTCCTAGAAGTTCTCTGGCAGTGGTATATCCCTTCTGACCAAAAATAGTCGCTGATACAGCATTTTATGTTTAGTAGAGTTTATTAAAATATTTTCATTCAAATAAACTGTGAGAACTACCTGTGCATCTTATTTGAAAGTTTCGTAATTACATATTGTCAGTATGGAATTTTGGTATAAATCAATGCCTAGAGACCTAACAAATGCATGAAATCTTTGTTGAAGGGAATTTGGAATATGGATTTGGCTGTGCTTTATCTCATTTAAAGAGTAGCTGACAACCCTGGCTGCCCAGTACCAGCCTAATGAGTTAGGGAAACAGATACTGATTCCTTGTCTCTCTTTCTCTTGATTGAGGGAGAACCATGTCAAGAAATTCCTCTCACTTTCCTTCTGCCTTGAAATTTTTCTCCGTGTCCAGCTAAATGTTTTTCTCTGCCTTCGAGATCGTTGGTAGACTGTGAAGGCCTGCCTTCTCTCACCATCCACCCTGGTTCACTAGAGGACAAGCATTTGGGGGTTTTGTTTGTTCTTTGCTGGTGGAGTAGTAGTGAGTTGGGCAGGAAAGGGACTTGTAGAGAGATGGCTTAACCATGTTTATGGCCCATTGCTTTTATATCCGAGATTGGTCTGCTCTCAGCACTGTAATAAGTGTAGAATTCCAAAGTGAAGAATTCCTGGTTTCCTAGCATCTGTTTGCAGTAGCTGCCAACTGTGGCCATAACAGGCGGCCTTTCTCGAGGCTGCAGTTGAGAGTCCACTTCCTCGCCTTTACCAGCTTCTAGAGGCACCTGCAGTCCTTGGCTCGCGGCCCGTTCCTCCCCTTCAAATCCCAAGTATTTCTCTGACTGTTCTTCAGTAGCCACACCCCCTTTCTCTCCGCTCTGCTTCCTTCTTGCATTTTTAGGGACCCTTATGATCACGTTGGGGCCACTCAGATCGTCCAGGATAATCTCCCCACCTAATGATTCCTAATTGATAGTCACATCTGCACAGTCCCTTTGGCATGTAAGCTACCATATTCACACAGGTCCCAGGGATTAGGGCGTGGACAAGCTTGAGGAGCCGTTATTCTGCTGCCACATTATTCTCTATAATCTCAGTTACCTCCTTTCACGTGGAAAGCAGAACTGTGCAGAAGTCGTACTGCGTCAGACCATGACCTGTAGCCGCTTCACTCACCCGCAGGTCTCTGGCTACCCTGGCTCACATGGAATCACAGCCGTGGCTGGCAGCACCTACCCAGGTCAGGCATCTCTTTTGGACCAAACAGATTCGTGGAATCACAGACCACAGGAGATATCGATGTGGCAGCCCAACGTGGAGGTAAATTGGATGTTCTTGGGCTTTGCTTTGTTAACTGATGAGGCTGTGCCCAGGGTGCAGGGTTTCTAAATCCTAAGGTTTCTCAGTTTAGATGCCTAAACTAAGAGCAAACGCTCTCTGGGTCTGTGAACCTTCTTTGCTGAACGATGGAGAGATACCACCATCATTAGCCCGTTCATTTGCAAAGCAGAGCCCTACATGAGGCTAAGGAACAAACAGCCTCCAGCTCTGCGGACCGTGTTAAGTTTTACTGAACTTCCTTGGTAAAACCAAGAACCACTCCTGTAATATTAAAAATCATTTCTTTGAATCCAAGAACATCTGTAGTTGTCTGCTCTTCAAGCTCTTTTCCTTGGAGTACACATGCTTTATACTCTGTAATATGTGTGTGTCGTATTTAATCCTCCTCCCATTATTTTACTTCCAGATTGTTTCCACTTTTTCGCTCTAACTAATGATGCATTCTCTGCCTCATATCTTGGATTACTTCTTTAGAGTAGGTCCCTGCAAGTGAACCATTGTATGCTTTTTAAAGCTGTTTCACACACGTTAACTTGTAACCCTCAGAAAAGCTGCTCCCGCCGGCAGAGTAGAAGAGACCCTACGTCCACCACACCTGCTGTTTTGCTTAATTGTTTGGAAAGACACACAGAAAAAAAAGTAAGAGCCTCATACACAGTCTTCTGAGAGTGGACCTTTTAACTCCTCCTCCAGGACTCTGCAACACTGGACCTGCGTGGCATCGGGCAGGTGTTGCCGACCCACCTGATGGAGGAGCGGCTGATCCGGCAGCAGCAGGAGATGGAAGAGGACCAGCGCTGGCTGGAGAAGGAGGAGCGGTTTCTGGTAACTGAGTCTCAGAAAGTTCTTGCACCCCTAAGCCTCTGGAGTTGGCTCTACTGCAGATGATCGCAAACCTCATCTGTTCCAGAGCAGGAGCCTTTGTTTTACATCTGCTTCCTAAAACTTGCAATAGTGGGTCGTTCGCTTTTCTTGAATTACTTTTTCAGGATAAATTTCTAGGAGGTCTGTTGTAGAATCACGGGCTCAGATGTAGAACCGTTTCTGTGGTTTTGTGTTACTGCCACGTTTACACGGAAACGACTCCCACTGAAGTGTCAGCTTGCACGTAAGACACTGCCTCTCGCTACTGCAGGGCACATGACTAGATAGCCCGGGGGCCCCGGGCTTGCCTTCCTGGGCTCCTCTGGTTCGAGGTCTGAGAGATGCAGACCTCCTGCCGCATGCCTCTGGGGTTGCGGGCAGCAAATGTCTTCCTGGGACAACTCTTGTCGACAGCCCCTCAGAAGTCCCTGGGGGTAGAGGAGCGGTGACAGAGTGGCCTGTGTGTGTCACGTGGTCCTCAGCCTTAGGACCCCTCCCCCGTCACCCTGCGCGGCTGCTTCAGCCTTCCTCAAGTAGCCTGAAGAGAGGAAGGCCTGGACGGAGCCAAGCCCGTACCTGGCTGGTCCAGAGCTGGTCCCTCACGCTTTGACCATAAACGTCCCGAGGCCACCTCTACGTCACCCTCTATGCTGAGGGACCAGACACTGATGAGGGGATACAACGCTGTTCATGCATCTCTGGGAGTCCTACAGGCACAGAAACATTAATTCAACAACCAGTGGTTTTACGAGACAGCGGTTCATCACCTGTGATCCTGATTTCATTCTTTATACGGGGCTTTCTTTTTGAAAACTGTAGTTTCAAATTAAACAAAGCAAGCTGTGCACAAGTTTGGTGAGGCACGTTTTAACCTATCCGGGCGGCCACTGCCCTCGCTGCAGGGGGAGTGAGGGCCATCTTGGCACGAACGGGGACCTGGGAGCAAATCACATTAGGTGGAGGCACTTTCTCACCTTCCTTTTCTTTTTCTTTTAAAATTGAGGCCTGCAGACATCACACGCACCCCACACTCATTTAACTGCCAGACAGGACTAATGCACACAGCCCTGTCACAGCTTAATGGTTAAGATCGTACAAAATACTTATCACGTGTCGGTCACCATCCTACATATTTCTCATACAGAAAGTCATTCAGTCTTTATAACCACCCTGTGGGGAAGAGACAGGTCCAAGATATTTTATCCGTAACTCTTGAGGGTTCTGTGTGCTACACTATGTTTTTGCTTTAGGAAGTTAATGAAGGGAATCCCCCTGGCGGTCCGGTGGTTAGGACTCAGCGCTTTCACTGCCGGGGACCAGGTTCAATCCCTGGTCAGGGAACTAAGATCCCGTAAGCCTTGCAGTGTGGCCAAAAGAAAAAAAGAAAAAAAAAGAAAGAGAATTAATGAAATATGACGCACATGCTGTATCTTATATAAGTATTCCAATAGCATACAGAGTTAAAAGCACTAACGCTCTTACAGCAAAACACAGGTGTTCACATTACCAGGTGTAAAGACAGCCCTCACATCAGTTCAGGTGAGGTTTTGCCACAAAATTAGTTTCCTTCAAGCTTAAAAAAGCAAACAAACTTACCAGTCTTTTAGTACATTTTAGATTTTGGAAACGAGGATAAAGGACAGTGTACCTATCCTTTATTACCTTTATTGTCAGAGATGAGGAAATTGCCCGAGACCACTGGGTAGCGTTGGCCAAGCCGGGGTCTTTGGTGCCCGCCACTCTGCCAGCCGGAGTGCCCGGCTGCACGCGGCTCGGCACTCCCACGGCCTAGTGCTCCTCTGCACGTGCATTTACTGTAACGTATACGAAATGTCGCTGGGCGCTGTGAACCATTCACTTTTGAACAAAAGTTTCATCATATCAAAATGCTAAATTATTTAAATCAAAGCGTATCTTGAGATTATAAGGCAGGCGGCAAAAATTGCTTATTATTATTTACTATACTAATCTGAGCGAATCTATTTGGATATTATATCAGTTCCAAGAATACAGCTGCTGTTCCCTAGCCCTACATTTTAACCTTTTGTCCAGAGAGCCTACTTTCCCGCATTGATTTGTATTTTAAAAAGGCAGTGTTACAAACTCTTCAAACTCGAGTTAGTATACGTAAATACCAGTGTCTGGTGTATGATCGCCCTGAGAGTGGAGGAGGCCGCGGCTGTGAGCTGCTCTGACAGAGCGCAGCCGGCGGCGAGAGCAGGAGGGGGGCCTGGGGGTGCCACTCGGGGTCGGGATGATGTTGGCACCCAGGCCTCGAGATAGATTGGAATTTGCAGGGCAGACAGGCTCAGGAAGTATGCTCATGCCTTGGGAAGAGCTTGCTGGTGGGGAAGGTGATCGGCCCAGGCCCAGGCTCCATCTTCCCAGTGATGTCAGGTACTCTGAATCAGAGGCTCCAGACACTGCTGGCTCATCTGCCGTAGGGGTTGTTCCTTTTAATTGAGATAATTTACATACAGTGGACTGCGCAGGTCTTTCTTAAGCGTGCAGTTTGGTGAGGTTTGATAAATACATTAAGTCCATATAACCCATTCTCCATACGTGTGACATTTCTGTCACTCCAGATGGCTTCCATGCCACGTTGAAAATCCACTAATGAAGTCGTATAATGAACTCCCCCCGGGGAGTCCAGTCAGTTGCTGTGTCCTGTGACAGCCTCAGTGTACCTGTCTCCTCAGCCTGGGACATTTCCATTTGTTCCTGATTCCTTTTATTTCTCCCATGTAACTTTATAATTTTCTCTAAGTCCATATCTTCCCTTATTAAATTACTGCCCATTCATTTAGAGCTTCCCGTCACTGATAATGGTATCTCATTTTCATTGAACTTTTTAGTTGTTATTTCCGTATATGCATATGCAGTTGATTTTTAGGAAATTATCTTGTATGTAACAATATTTATCACATGAAATTTTTCTGACTGATTTCCTTGGATTCTTTCTATTCATGCACGGTTATCACTTTTTAAAAAACATTTTCTTTCTTCATTTTCAGTTATGTATCTCATATTGCCCCTGAAGCATCTCTTGCCAACTTTGTATTAAATAGGTTCTTGCCTGCTTTTATTTTTTTTATTTTTTTTTTTTAAACCCCACATTTGTTTGTTTATTTATTTTTGGCTGTGTTGGGTCTTCGTTTCTGTGCGAGGGCTTTCTCCAGTTGTGGCAAGCGGACGCCACTCTTCATCGCGGTGCGTGGGCCTCTCACTATCGTGGCCTCTCTTGTTGTGGAGCACAGGCTCCAGATGCTCACGCTCAGCAGTTGTGGCTCACGGGCCTAGTTGCTCCGCGGCATGTGGGATCTTTGCAGACCAGGGCTCGAACCCGTGTCCCCTGCATTAGCAGGCAGATTCTCAACCACTGCGCCACCAGGGAAGCCCATCCTGCTTTTATTTTTAAAGATAATGTCCGTAATAGTTTTCTCCATTAAGTATAATGCTGGCTCTCTATTTTTAAAATAACCTTTCTAAAGCTTTTAAAAGGCTTAACGTGATGAATTACGTGAAGCATTTTGCTTGGTTTTATGCTGGACCCTCATTCCAGAGAGAAGTCCCCACTAAGTCGTGGTTGATGATCCTTTGAAGGTCCTGGTGTCTTTTGTTTGTGATGTTTTATTAGAATTTCCTATCGATCTTCATAAGCAAGAGTGATTTATTATTGTCATTGTTAATGGTTTCAAGATCAGAACAGCGTTGATATCCTCAGTCGAATAATCCCTGCCCCATCTGCGTTGGCCGTTGGTCAGGCAGCCGGTGTAGGTGGGGGGCTGAGAGCAAGTGAGCCGTCAGGACGGGCCCGTCCTCCGCGTGAGCAACTGGGTGAGCGAGCCGCAGCGCCGCTGCCAGGGGAGGGAAGGTGAGGAGGTGAGGGCAAGTAAATGTCAAGGCCGGGGCGTCGTACGTGGCATCTCTGAGATCCTGTCCCCTCCAAGCTGTGTTTCGTGCCACAGCCGCAGTGACATTTCTACACCTCGGGTCTGATCCTGGCCTTCTCTGACTTAAAACCTCCCAGTGGCCGCCACAGGATGTCCACCCGGGGCCCTCCATCCTTCCTGTCCTCGAGACGCAGCCCCTCTAGGTCAGCCCTGGTTGTGACAGAGTGGACGGAGCGCAGGGGAGGCCCAGCATGCGGGGCCGTCAGGGCAGGCTGAGCAGCTGAAGAACGTGCCAGGGTGAGGGCACACCGAGTGCAGGAGCCTAGGCACTGGGGTCAGCTAGGGGAGGCTTCAAAATCCTGGTTACCGCGGCCCTACGTAAGTTGTTTAACCTCTCTATGCTGTGATTTGTTAATCCGTAAGATAATTATAATTTCCTCTGTAAAATGCGAGAATGCTTTTCTGTAGGGTTGAGTGGAGGATTAAATGTATAACGCGTAGACAGTGGGAGGGATAAGGAATACACCATTAATTTTTCCAAGGGCTTTTAATCTCTCATTCAGTATGTTCTCTGTAGCAGCCAGGAGCGCTGCACTGATGAGAATCTAGAATCCTAGATCGTACACGTCGCCCAGAATACCTGCAGGCTGCTCCCAACCCGAGATGAGTGTAATAGATGGGGTGAGAGATTTTAGCCAGTGTCGAAGGGATTCTGCAAAGGAGCGTCGCTGGTATCACGCAGGAGCTGGACACCCTTTCACTGGATTTATTTGTTATCAGTGAACCTTAATTCGTTGTTTGTTTGGGGTTTTTCCCCCCCCCCCCTTAATGCATTTTTGCTGTTGGTAGGGCTCCCTTAGGTAGGCTGTTTTTAGCAGCTGGCTAACAAGGCCCTGGCTGTGTCTGACCGCCATGTTTCCCCGAGGAGGCAGAATCTGCCTGCAGGACATGGAGCCTTTTAGGCCCAGGTGCTTCCCTGTGCAGGCTTCTCAAGCCGTCAGTGAAGGAGGACCCCTTTCTATTTTTTTTTCCTAAACCACTGTAGACCTGATACTCTAGTGAAATAAA